TTTAGTGAACATAAAATAAATTGGAAGCATTATAGAATGCACTTCATAAAAATAATGTTTGTAAGAGTAATAAAAACAGTGCTTCCAAGACAATGCAAAGTCATAAAATAAATATTATCTCTTTAAACAAAGTTGATAGGAAATATGTAACTAAATACTAATAGCTTACACATAAAATATAAATGTTCACTCATTCAGGCCATAAAATAAATTTATTAATGTGATTGAAACTCTACCTTAAACCAAGGCCAAAATCGAGTATTATGTCGAATTTTGGAATGTACACCAGTCATATTTTTTGATTGTATAAATGTTGGTGCCATCTTGCTAATTGTCTCGGCAACTATTTTAACATGCCGATTAAGTGTTTCAAGTGAATGTTGAAAAGTTTCACAATCGTGAGGTGTGAGTTAAAGTGACTATATGTTGGTGAGAATAATAAATTTTAAAAAGTAATGATGTGATTATAAATTTTATTTACATATGAAACAAATGGTTAGTAGATATAAATGTGGGTTGTTTTAACAAAATATAAACTCATGGATCAATTATTGTATTAAAATATCTCAAATCATGATATGGAATCACCATATAATTCCATATCATGGTTTTTGGAGAATATGGTATCACCTCTCATGATATGGAATTATGAGATGAAATCAGCATAAAATCGCATGTCCAAACGCTGATTTCATCTCACGATACCATATCGTGATATGGTATCACATGGTCAAACGCCTACTTAGTGATATATATTGACACATACAAAATCTCTCTCTCTATATATATGGCGTACACAAACATATAGTGATATATATATGATCATTTCATGGCGTGTGTATGTCAAAGAATGTAAAGTAATATATAGGTCATCAATATACACTGGACTTATACAAAACATACACTCGATATATAATACATACATCCATTTCCACTTTCAAACCACCATCACCATAGTTACCATCACAAAATCATCACAAGCATTACTTATTTCACTCTAAAAATGCAAAAGAAAAAAAAAATCACCAAAAAAGAAAAACAATTTTTTTATCGAAATTAGATCTATTTAAATCTATTTCATCAAATAATATCAATGAACATGGAAGTGAGAAGAGACAATGAAGGGAAGTGTATAGAAGTATTTCACATTTACTTCTAGTGATCGTCATTTTTTATGTCCACTAATTTAGCTCAAACTGAATTTTGATAAGAAATATTTGACTAGTGATGATAATGAGAGGAAGAAAAGAGAAAATAATTTAAGGTAATTATGTTGGAAATTACAATGTCTTTAAAATAGGTAATTAAGGGTCCTTTTTCATTATATAGTTTAAAACTCTCTTAAAAAAATTGGTACAATGATATCAAAATAAGAAGGTTGTCATAGTATCTTAATCACAAGAAAGATTAGTTTTACGAAATTAAATATGAGGAAAGCATTCTAAAATTGTTTTAAACATGCATGTCTCCTATCTCAAATATTTTAGTAAATTTGGAACCGGCATTAATTGAATTGTTGAAAATGTCGTAATTTTTTTTATTGATATTGACCAAATTGTATTTTTAATGTAACATTTTATAAAGATCATAAGTAAAATATCGTAAATCATTTATCGATATTAATTTAAATATTAAAAAAAATAAGTGGCATTTTCTATATGTAGTAAATAAATGTCATTTGTTTTATATCAACATTTTTCTATATGTAAAAAAATTTAAGTGATATTTCTATATATGTCGTAAATAAATGTCATTTATTTTTTATCGACATTTATCTATATGTCAAAAAATTTAAGTGACATTTTTATATATGTCATAAATAAATGTCGCTTACCAATATTTACTTAAATGTTGAAAATTCTCGACACTAAAATTTATGATATTTGACCTAAATGTAAATTCAATGTTGATAATCTCTTTTGTAATATTTAAGCAACTTATCACGATCTTGCTTGTGGGATTTCATTGGATGTGTTATTGTTGTAATGGATTAAAAAGTAAAATTATTGATCAAAACAAAATGACTTTTAACATAAAAAAAAATAATATAAAATAAGTTACTATGTTGAGACTTTTGATTTTATAAAATGACTTTATGAGTATCCTTTCTAATAACCTTTCCCTCCTTTTAAAAACATTCGAATTGAAGTCATTTTGAGTATGTAAAAGTCAAAATTATATGTTTAGATACATTCACGATCGGTAAGTATTTATATATTTTTTTATCTACAAATATGTATATATATTTAGTCATTTTGAATATGTTTATAATTACATACTCAATTTTAAGAATGTTTATAATTACTTAGTTTATAAACCTCCTTCAACTTGAGTATGTAACTCAAGTCTTTTTATAAGAAAGTTTAACGCTTGTCAAAATATAACTCATATAAAATTAGCAAAATTTCTAAAAATAGTATATTTTATACAAATGCCTACTGTCACATTTGTATTAGAACTTTCTCTATTCTTTTGAGGTCTTTTAAAAAAAAAAAAAGTTGAGGTCATGTGAGTTTGATTTTACAGGATTTTGGTTATTTATTAGTAATGGAATTGTGTTCATATAAAAACGTTATTTTAATTCAATTGGCTGGAATTACAGTAATATTTTATTTGCTTTCTTGTTTTTGTGCTACTTAATAGTCTCAACTTGTAGTTGTTTCAATGGACGGACTATTCAAGATATTTTATTATGCTTTTTTTTTTTGGATTTTAATTTTAGTTGATTTTTTATGATATCTTTTTCTTACATATGTGTAATTTTTAGTTGATCAACAATTGCTGGTTTGCCAGACAATTTAGCTTCAATTTGATCATAGATTTCAATGTTTAAATAGCAGTGTTATAGTAGGAAAATTTCAATTTAGCTTCAATTTGATCATAGATTTCAATGTTTAAACAATAGCGGTTTTATAGTAGTTAAATTTTCGTTATAGCAGTCTCACATCAGCTCAAATCAAATCTAAATCCTAAATTTTTTTGTCGTGTCATTCCAATTTAATTTAACAGCGTATTTTATTTTTATATATATAATTTCATATTAGATGCCCTTTAAATGACGACTGAATAAATCGCTACATAAATAGTTTTAAAAATAATTCTTTTCTCTAAGAATTTAGTCCGAAGACAAATAGGATCTCTTCATTCCCATGATTCTTGAAATAGTAAAAGGATCCCAAAAAGGAAATGCTATTGATAATTTGCTTTGGTTCAAGTTTGTTTTTATGTCTATCTCCTTAAAATTAAAACTATTTGAAATTTAAACTTTTAGGCCGGTTAGGAATTCATTTTGGTAATTGAATTTGATGTAATTGAGTGTAATTACATTGTTTGACATATTTGATTGGTTATGTAATTACTTGGTCAACAAGTAATTGAGTGTAATTGGCGGGAGTAATTATACTCTCCAATTCACAGGGAAAGAGAAACGGTGAATTGTTGGTAATTACATGGTGTAATTACAAGCTGGATGTTTATTAAAAAAATTATTTTTATTTTTTTCATTTTAATTTATTTTATTATTATTATTCTAATATATATATTTTTTATTTTATTTTTTATTATTTGTATTTCATTTCCTTCTCATTATCAACCTTCACTTCATGTGATTCCATGCAATTTTTTTGCATTATCTATTTTTTTTTTTCATTAGTATAATTTTGTTAGTATTCTAATTTTAAAATTAAAGTAGAATTAATTGTTGAATAAGGTTATGGACCTACATTTTCCTTCTTCTTCTTTTTTTTAAATAATTATTATTATTTATGTATGTTATGTTGAAATTTGACATAAGAGTGTCAAGTTAAATTTTTTGTTTTGAATTTAGAACTAATGTTATATTTTCATTTTCATTTGGTTTAGAATATTGACGGGATATTTTACATTGTAAGCTACTTTTTTAGTTAGACTTGATAGATTATCTTTTGATCAAATGTTTTGATAATTTTATGATATTATATTTATAATATTAATCTTTTGTCAAACATGCATTTCATGATGTTTATAGAAAATTTGTACTTTTAGTGTTTTATGATTAATTTGATTAAAATATACTAAATTGAAAAATATATATCAATTATTTTTATAATATTAGTTAAGAACATATGTTTATTAATTAATATATTTTCAAAAGACAATATATCTTAAATATACAATTAATATCATTTATAAATGCCCTTATTTTATCTAATATATTTTTTAATTTTTAGATAATTAATTTTTATTTTTAAAATTCAATGTAACCTTATGATTACACTTGTGTAACCAAACAGTACACTTGTAATTACACTGTAATTATACTGTAACAAACAAACATGTCAATACAATTACTAGATTGTGTAATTATTAGATTGATAAGTACTACCCTAGTAATTTCTTTGCTAGTGACTTGTGAGTATTCACAATTTTCAAACACATTGTTTGGATGATCATTATTATCGTCCTTTTAGTTTATATTATATTTGGTTTCATTATTACTTTAATTTTATTATATTGTATTATTTAAATTCATCGTTAGATAAAAAAGTATCTTTTTGTATAACAATCGATTTTGATGTGATCACGTTGCCTTAATAATTTCTTCTCATTTTGTCCTTACTTATTATTCAATAATCCTTTTTATTTTTTACCCTACCTTTTGACGGTAACTCTACTCCGTACTCTATCTTACCGTCTTATTATTTAAATTGTCAATGTGCAACATTATATAACAACAGAGAACAATACAATTTATCCAAACATTGTATTTATTAAACAATACACTAATATAATACGATACGTTGTGAAACAACACGTAATAACCATCTAAATTGTGTGTTTAATATAATTAGTTAAATCATGTGTTTTATGTTACCCCAAAACAAGTTGTTTCCACATCTATATACCAAAACTAGACTTTTCATCATATTACAAATTGTTATCAAAGCATATCCTTTGAAGTTAACGTTACGCCTTTGGAAACTTAGTACAAAAGGACCCATACAAAGCTTAACTTTTGACAAACCATTGTCTTCCTCCTTTCCTCTCTACTATATACTATACTATTCTCTCTTGTTGTGAAGTGTGCCTAACATTCTTGAAAAAAAAAGTATAACAACATTCTCAAAATCTCAACAATTGTTTAATCTTTTTGGTAAAAAAAGGGAGAAGACAGAGAAATTAACAGCCCCTTTTTCATGTTGGCACTACTCTCCAACTTTGTCTCCACCCCTTTTGATATCTCTGTATAATATGAAAAAAAAACCATAGATACAGTGACCCTTCAATTTCCAACCCCTTGATCTTGATTCTTGATTCTTGAATCTTGATTAGGAATTAGGAGCAATGAAGAATAGACATACTATTAAAGTTTCTGTAAAATGGATACCTATTTTCTCAATTGCTTTCTTCTTTATTGGGATGTTGTTCTCTAACAGGTGAAGATGATGAAAAGGGTAGCTTTAGAATTTTGGGTTATGTTTGGAATTTTGTTAAAGTTTTGATTTTTATTTATGGATCTGTTTGTTTGATGAAGATGGTGGTCACCAACTGAATCTGGGAGTCAGCTTATAGCTCAGCATAGAAGGGACCAAGAACTTCAAGTTGTTTCTGAGGATTGTAATTCGAAAAAGAAGGTTTTTTGAGTTCTTGATTTCTGTGTATTCAAGTTGATTGCAGATTTAGATACTGTGTTGTCTGTTTTGTTTTTTCGCAAATTTTGAAGTTGATTAAAGAGTTCTGCTTCTGTTGAGTTCAATCTGTGGTTTTGTGGAGTTTTTCTGTTATGGATATTCAATCTGATTGTGGACTTTAGCTTCTATCAAGTTCAATCTCTGTCTGTTTCCGCTTAACGTATTGATTATTTTTTTTGGGGATTTTGAAGCTAATTCTGGAGTTCACCATTTGTTGTATGTTTATGCAAAATTTTAAGTTCTTGATTTCTGGATTTTGAAGCATATTGTGGAGTTTAGATTCTGTTGAGTTGAATCAGTCTATTTTTGAGTTTTTGGTTTCTGGGTATTGAAGCAAATTGCTGCTATAAGCTTTTCAATCTGTCTGTTTTCTGAACCTCTTTTTCTTGACGTCTGGGTGTCGAAGCTACTTGTTGATATTAGCTTCTGCAAGTTCAATAACTTCCTGAGTATTGAAGTTAATTGTAGATTTTAGATTCTGCTAAGTGCAATGTTCTGTTGTAACTTCTTTTTGTTCTTGATTTCTGAGTATTAAAGCTAATTGTGTTTTATTTGAGTTCAATCTGTCTACCTTGTGTTTTTTCAAATGAATTCTTTGTTATGATGATTGAAGCTTATTGTAGTATTAATGAGTTCTGTCTTTATGTGTATTGAAGTTGGTCGATGGAGGTTTAGCTTTGTTAAGTTCAATTTGTCTGCTTGTTATTTTTCACGAGTTCTTGCTTTCTGGGAGTCCAAGATTATTTTGGCTTGTAGCTTGTGTTCTTACCTGACTATTCGTGACCTTGTATAATTTGTTGGTATACTAGAAACAAGGACAAGATAAGGATGTAATGCAAGAGGTGTACAAAACCCATGAAGCAATTCAGTGAGTTCTCTAAGCATCATACTTTTGTTGTTTTCTATTTTTAAGTCGTGTGGGATAACTTTCTATTTTTGGTACTAATGGTTGTGAGCTGTTTTTGGGAGGTCTGCTTAGATCATTGGACAAGTCAATTGCTACGCTTCAGATGGAATTGGCAGCCACTAGGAGCACACAGGAAATGAAGGTGGCTGATCAGTCTTCCAATTCTTCTCATCCCCAAAATGGCCCTCCAAGGAAGAAAGTTTTTGTGGTAATTGGAATTAATACTGCTTTTAGCAGTAGGAAGAGGCGAGACTCAGTTAGAGAAACTTGGATGCCTCAAGGTAAACCTCCAAGTGCAGTTGTGTCCCTGTTTCCTACAATCTCTACTGAAAAATCTTATTTTTTTATTTTGAAAGAAACATGCCTGAGGCTTGATTATATATATGTATATATTAGGGGACAAGCTTCTCAGATTGGAGAAAGAGAAGGGTATTGTAGTCCGCTTCATGATTGGTCACAGGTATGATACTTCTTTTCCTTGAGGACAAATGGGTTCCAAATCCTACATTCTGGTGCTCCTTCGTTTCAATTTGTTTGTTTGGTTTTGACTTGGCACGGAGTTAATGAAAATAAAGAAACTCTTTTGAATCTTGTGGTCTCAAAACCAGGGATATGTAGTATGTACCAAAATGCACTTTAATGTGGTCTCAAAACCAGAGATATGTAGAATGTACCAAAATGCACTTTAATCTTGTGGTCTTAAACATTCCACATTCCACGTGGAAAGTTGGAATTAAAGAGTAACTAAAAAAGGAAAGAGACATTCTTTTTGAAACTGACTAAAAAGGAAAGTAAGACGGACAAATTGAAACGGAGGGAGTATTAATTCACCTAGATGCAGAATCAGAGAAAGAAGTTTTATCTGTTTTCCTTTCAAGTCACCATTAAAGTTATAAAAGATCTGATTGTAGAGAGTTTGCAGGATTAGATTGTTACAGTTCTATAGAAATTTGGAGTGACTCATACTTCTGACATGTTTCCAAGGTCAAATGCCCCCATTTCGTGTGCTGGGCAAAAGAAGGAAGTCCAAAAATGAAACCCTTTGACTTTATTTTGATCAGGAGAATATTCTTCTAAAGGGCCAATATGTGCACTATCTGTTTCTTGCTGGATCGAAATCATCAGATATCCACACATCTTTAGGAGTCCTACTTCCTAAAGATGCCAAAAAGAGAGGAGAAACGTAGATAGATAAAAAGTGGATAGTAAGTTAAAGAAAAGGAATTGTATTCTCAACTCAAGCTCGACTACACTTTTAGCTTGTAGGAAAGAGACACCAAAACAATGCTCCTAACATAGACTTCCATCTTACTCAGTTAGCTAGAAGAAGACTATGGTGGCGTTTGGTTCGAAGACGAGTGTTATACGAGGATTATAATGCAGAGATTAGTTATACAAGGATTAGTAATACAAAGATTATTTCTTGTTGGATGTTTGGTTAATAGCACTAAAATTGGATATACAAGATATTATTTAAAATAATTATTTACTTTTTAAACTAAAAAGTAATAAGTTAACAGTTATACCTTTGAATGATTGACCTTCATTGGTTTCTAGGAAAAAGATAAAGGTAGTTTTGTCGTTTGCTACTTTACCAATGTATAAGTCATACATGGATTAGTTATTCCATGTTGTTGTTGGTATAAAATAATACACTAATTGGTCTATTAGTTTATACATGATTCAAACTACAACCAAACATTGGATAAAGTTATACCATGAATATTTTCCTTATACATCACACCAAATGACTCCTAAGAATTTGTTAGAAGAAGACTAAGAAGGCCTTCCCCTGCATCATAATGCAGCAGAACCAATCTTTATACCTCTCGTTGCTTGCTTCCAGAACTACTGTTTGTAGTTTCTATCATGGGTGATACCATGCATCAGCAGAACCAATCTTTATACCTCTCGTTGCTTGCTTCCAGAACTACTGTTTGTAGTTTCTATCATGGGTGATACCATGCATGCCTTAATGCCCCGCTGCCTACATTGAAGTGTCGTTTAAAGCCTTAAACGACGCAAAAACCACACCTATTTTGCACCTAACTTTATGGCTCAAGTGCGAATGAAGCAGTGAGCCTTTTTGACATCATTGAATGAAAATTAAGTAAATACTTTCCATGACAAAAATGAAAAGAAGACAACCTCTTCCTGAATTGTGGTCAGCTGTTGCTACCTCTTCTTTTGATAATTAAGTAATGCATTAAAACCTTGTGATGTTCATCCTTGCAAATCGTCCTATGCAATTTGTTTTTAATGTTCTAGTTGGATCCGCACACAGTGGTGGACCAGAACTATCTACTCTTTTTGGGACCCTGCCATATTCTCTCCAAAAGAATATATATGCTTTTTTCCGTCCATCTTCTACTAAGCATCTTTACGTATCATCTGAAAATTGGATTTCAAGCTGTTTTCCACTCATAGTTGAATGCACTTACTCCTTCCTCAGCTGTTTCCTAGTTTTCGTACCCAGGTTGAACCATTGAAGTTACCTGTGAAATATTTTTGAAAACTTGCTGTGGGAAATATTGGCTATCCAAAATGAATCTCAAGCTGCTTTCTGTACAAAGGTAGCCATCTAGTTTGAGGAACTAATCTACTGATTTGAACACTAGTAATAAACTCAAACAGGGTCTGTCTCCTGCTTATGACATTTATGAGGTTTAAAATAGTTTAAGAAATTAGAAATTCATTTCCTTGTAAGAAATAAAATAAAGGAACTAGAAATTGATGCATAATATGCAATTTTTGGTGTGAGTTTAATTTAAACCAAGTGCTTTAGAGAGAGTATCTTATGCTGCCACATGTTGGGAGGTAAAAATGTCTTTTGGAATGCGTTGCATTTTGAGAAATAAATGCTTTTAGCTTGAAAGGGTACTTCTTCAAGTTGTCTTAGCAAATGTTTTAAGAGTCCTTTCAGTTTGTAGATACTTGAACAGGAAAACACTTTCTGCGAAAGCTCAATTTTGGAGTTACTGAAACTACTTGTGGGCCTAAAATGAACTATCTCGATAGTTCAACAGTTAAAAGAACCAAGATTAATTTTGTAAATTTGACAGTAAGTATTTCATTAAATCACCTAACAAAGCCCTTAGTGTTGTGTCTATAAAATTTTCAGAAGTACTAAACACTACAGGAGAACACTTTACCAAAAGCTAACACACCACTGAAAAGGGCTGAAGAGGTTTGTTGCAGACACATTTTAACTAATGAACGCATGATTACATGCTGTTTGAGTTCGGATGGATTATATGAACTGTTCATTTTTATGTTAACTAAAATACTTGCAATTACATGTCACCACTAACAAGATACTGGCTAGTTTTAGGATTGATCAGAATCTAGATGTTCCATTTTGGATAGTTTGGCTTAGCATGATCTTTCTCATCTGTACGATGCTTATCCACTCCAACTAAATTTTCCATCACCTGTAGGATCTTTGTCAATTCTACATCTTTGCGCTTTCTTTGCTCTCTCTCTTTTCCAGCATTTTCTTTCCTTTTTCTGTATTATTATTGGTAGTATATGTTACTAGTATGTATGAGTCATCACTCATTAGTGTTACTGAGCAAGGATGAAAAGGAAATTAATATTACTGAACTGACAAATGTCTGTGTTGGTACAGTGCAACATCTAACAGCATACTGGATCGTGCTATTGATTCTGAAGAAGCCCAACATGAAGACTTCCTCAGGCTGGTACGATACTTTAAGAACAGTTTTGCTTTTTGTATTAAGTTTGGTAATCTTACAGATTTTGGGGTCCGAATCTGCATGATGTTGTAGGAGCATGTTGAAGGATATCACGAGCTCTCTGCTAAAACTAAGATTTTCTTTTCTACTGCTGTTGCAAAATGGGATGCCGACTTCTACGTCAAGGTTGATGATGACGTCCACGTCAATTTGGGTATGCACTGGATATGTTTTCTATGTAGTTTTATAGTTCAACGACTAATACTCTTGGTTCAGCTGTATTTAATGACTAATGATTTTCAGGCATGCTAGCTGCAACTCTAGCTCGTCATCGATCGAAGCCCAGAATTTACATTGGGTGTATGAAATCTGGACCTGTTCTTGCTCAAAAGTAATTGTGAAGCTTTACTAGCTTATGACAATTGATGCTTTCAGCTTGCATTTTGGTTTCAACTGTAGTAACATTTTATTTGCGTGAATTGAACTTCAATATTGTTTTGTAGGACTGTAAAGTACCACGAGCCAGAATACTGGAAATTTGGAGAAGAAGGAAACAAATACTTCCGACATGCAACTGGTCAGATCTATGCTATCTCCAAGGACTTGGCCACGTACATATCAATCAATCAGTAAGTTAAAATAGTTGATAAAGCTTGAATTTGTTATCATCTACCAAGTCGTTGAAGTTCTTCTGAATGGTAAAAAGACTTGTTTTTTCTTTAAGTATCCGTGTATATTAGCATGTGTACTGTGGATTATCAATACTAAAATTTGTCGGTCTCCATTATACTAGGTATTTGTATGTTTGATCTTAAGTATCACAATCATAAAGTGGACACCCAAACATGCTCGGGATTGAAGCATAGCTGTTGTATCGCTATCATATATTGTTAAATGCTCTAGTAATTATAAAGGATTTGAACTTTTAATTTAGGCCTATATTGCACAAGTATGCCAATGAAGACGTGTCATTAGGGGCTTGGTTTATCGGTCTTGAAGTTGAGCACATTGATGAACGCACCATGTGCTGTGGAACTCCACCAGGTATTTTCTCTCTAGTAATGTATCTCTATCAGCTGCATTCAAAACTTTTTGGGTTGCATTTTTGACGATCTAATATTTTGTTTTGGTGCAATCAGATTTTTTTTGGTCAGTTCTCAGTAAGAGTTTCCTAATTGAAAGACATGCCGGATAATGATCTTTTTTATCAGTGTCCCTTCCTTCATTCCATGCCTAAAATCTTGAATTCATATAGGAGTAACATGTTTAATAAAATGTAATTCTTAGTTTTGTTGTCCGTAAACAGACATTCTAGTTGAGGGCGTAATACAAAATAGAACAGAGTCAATTTAAACTGTTTAGCTCGGGTCTAAGCAGTATATAAACACTCTTTTTTTGTAAATCTTATTAATGCATCTACTACCATGGTACCCCCTTGCAGATTGTGACTGGAAAGCTGAGGCAGGGAATGTATGTGTCGCCTCGTTTGACTGGAGCTGCAGTGGAATTTGTAAATCAGTAGAGAAGCTAAAATATGTCCACGAGAAGTGTGGTGAAGGGGAAGAAGCTCTTTGGAATGCTCTCTTCTGATTTGCTTGAGAAATAAGAGAGTTGAGGATTCCTGGTGAGACATGGCTGTCGGACGATTTCCATCTGGCTGGCTGTTTTCGATTGCCAAAATTTTCCAATCAGAACTTTTAGTCCAGCAGTTTGCTGTAAAGAGCATGTTTGTTGTAGATTATGTCTCTGTCTAGATATACTGATATAGATATATGGATTTTGAAAGACAGTGGCTATAATTTTGCTAATTCTTTTCAGCATATCAGGAGAAGAGGACCTTTTAGATGTGTACTCACATTCTTTGTGGTGGAGATAATGTAATTTTGGTGGTGGTGAGGTTTAACTGTTATTTCTTTATTTGGTGCTTATTCTAGTTTGAGTACAAGGCCTACATTTTTGACAATCTAGTATGTTCTTTTGTTTAAATTTATTGGTACTATTTTTAGTTGCAATTAAGTGTGAAGAAAGGAAATAAATTTATTCATACATTAGTTCTCTCTGAGTCTCTGTTCATTCCCATCTTCAAACTCCTTGATTTTCCTTTTATGATTTGAACTTCCAACATAATTAATCAAAGCCTGTCAATTGATCAATATTCCCAATTTCTATGGTTTCTATTCAAATTTTGGATCTTTGGCCATGAATTTTTTTCATTTTTTTCCAGAGTTTGACGTAAACACGTTTGACCATAAAATTTTGGAAATCAACTTGAGTTGAATATCAAAATTTTCAAGAGTTTGAGAAACAACAAAGAAGTTTTTTCACTTCAAATTACTCACAAAAAGAAAAAAAAAACTTTAATTTGTGTTCATGGCCAAACACAACTTGCCAATTTTCAATTATCACTTTCACTTTGATAGTGAGGTAGATGTGTGGGCATACAAGGAGTGATAAGATTAGGAAGGAAGATATTCAGGATAAGCGAGAATGGCCTCTATGGTGGACAAGATAAGGGAAGTGAGATTGAGATGGTTTGGACATGTGAGGAGGAGATGCACAGACAATTTAGTGTGGAGGTGCGAGAGGTTGGCATAGTAGGTACGAGGAAAGGTAGAGGTAGACTGAAGAACTATAAGGGAGAGGTGATTAGATAGGACACGACTTCAGGTTATCGAGGACATGCATACCCTTAGATATAAGGGCGTGGTGGACGCGTACTAGGGTACAATGTTAGTAGGTAATAGTGTGTTTTCTTGCTTTTCGATGGTTTAAGCTTGTTGGTGTTTGTCATTGTACGAACTGTATTATTGTAGTTCCTACTTTTGATATCTATCATTGTCTGTTGTTTATTGTGTTTCAATTATCATATTATTTTGTGTTCTTATTCCTTTCTTGTAGGATTTGCACTACTTCCCTCGTTAGTTGCTATGTTTTCTTATTCTTTGTACTTGAATTTGCACACTTGAGCCGAGGGTCTTCCGAAACAATCTCTTTACCTCTACAAAGTAGTTATAGGGTCTGCATATACTCTACCCTCTCCAAACCCCACTTATGGACGAATTCCCATACGTGGGTATGTTGTTGTTGCAGTTGTACCTTGAAAACATTTTCTTCTTCTTCAAAGTTCACAATGAAACAATATGTCTAAATGCTCATTAATTTTATCTTTGCTTCTTTGCTCAATTGATTGACATCATCTAGCAAACATAATATATAAGGGTATAGTTGAATATAATATTAATTATATATTATCTTGAATTTTTAAAGCGATGATTATCTTGTTACTAAAATAACACTTATTTTAAGACAGAAAATAATATAATAGTAATTGAACCTAGCTAAAGAGAATTGTGGTTGAAGCAAAGTACAAAAAGCCATGCATGTCAGCCATAAATTATTAAAATGCCAAATGAGTAGTTGAAAATATATATTGGTGGAAGGAAAAGAAATAAATAACCCTATCTGTTTGTCAACTTGTCTAGTTTTATAAAGCTGACATCAAGGTTTTGTTTTGTTGTCTTTGCAGCTAGTTGTTCATACCATGGTGTATTGTCTCCACACAGATCCCAATGTACACCTCAATACAAGAGGACAACAATTGAAGACCAAATACACAGTGTACAACAAGATGTGGATCATCATAATTCTTATGTAGTCTGTATGAACTAGATTTATCTATTCTCTGTCCTTAACTCAGAATGTGTCTAGTTGTGAGTTGTATGAATCTCGCTTTCTGTAATTTATTTGTCGTGATTGATGTCTAGTTGTGAGTCGTATCAATCTCACTTTATGTATCTTATTTGTCGTGATTGATGTCACTTTCATCTTGCCTCGTATAATCAAATCTCTCCAGATATGCCTACACATTTATCTAACTATCTGAACATCCTCATATATCTTTTCTATCTTCATCTTCTGACTGTAGGCTATCTTGACTGGCTAACACTCTGCCCCATACAATAATTATATTACTCAAACTATCACTTTGTGGAACTTGCCTTTTACGTCAAGATGACATATTCTCATCCCACAACACCCCGTAGGCGAGCCTCCATTTCACTCACCTTGTTTTAATATACCGTGCCAAATTATTGTCAATCTTCCCATTTTTTTAAATTACGAATCCAAGATACTTGAAAGTTTTGCTTCCTCTCTTGAGTGTGACTTCTTCCTCGATCTTTATTTCTACCCTCGTCTCATATATTATATTATAAAACCTTTACACTTTAGATACTTTGTTTTAGTCCTGCTTAACCTAAAATTAACTTTAATAAATAGAGTTTGATAAATATGTTATTGACATTAAAAGTGTTAACAAACTTAATGGACCAAAATTATTCAATATTTAAGAGAGTATTTTGAAACTACCCCAAAACTTAAAAAGGACTTTTTTTAATCAGTGAATATATTGTTGATTGTTAACGGGTGTCATTTTGATTTTTAATGTAGTAATTAAGCATGTTTTATTGCAATTCAATGTGAATATCCTTTAAAAAGTATAGGATAGCAAAACAACCTCTTTGTCATAAAATAGGAATAAGGTTACACTATGCCATTACTTTCTTAAAGATTTTACGTGTTAAATTCTACTGAATATATCATTATTATTATAAAATTTTATGTGTGAAATTCTACTTATATACGTGACAAACATATGAACACATACGTAGCACATAGGTTAAGCAAAACATATCCATGAAGATTCATTAATTGCTAGAGTGTTCAGTTTAAAGATATGTTTGATGATCGTCACAATTATTTTTTTGGGGGAACTCATGATTGGAAGTGAGTGAGGGACTCGTGTTGTGATGATAGAACAAAAAAAATAAAAAATACATCAGATATATTCGTACAAGACTCTATCATTAACAGAGAAATATTAGCTGGCATATATATAGATAACGATATTCACACGTGAAATACTGATATTAACCATAGTACTACTTTAGGCGTCGAATGAAGTTTTTTATTTATTAATGCGTTACCTTTATTGCCTATAAATATAAAACGGAAAAGGGTCAAAATTACCCTCAAACTATTCGAAATAGAGCAAATATACCCTCCATTTCATTTTTGGCTCAAAAATACCCTTGCCGTTAACATAAGAGACCACAAATACCCTCCAACTTAACAGCCCCGTTAACCTCATGACATAGCATCTGATGTGGAAAAAATAAGCCACATGGTTCAACACGTAAGCGTCCTACATGGAATAAAGATCCATATGATTGCCACCTAAGCTATTGTCCATTAACCCTTTACCCACCCTACTAAATGGACCGACCCGTTCACATTCATAGTCTTCATCATCTCCAAAACTAAACGCATATGCATCTGCTGCAACGACTTTAATATCACTTGACCCGAGATTGGGAATAGTAGCTCTCTCAACTGTTTCACTCTTGATCTCGCTTGCGCCATTTTTGGGGTCGCTGTTTCTAAGAGAAAGTTGTTCAGCATTATGAGTTAGATTGGCAATCTGCTCTTTTTGTCAGCCATAATCAACACCTGCAGCAACCAGAATCTCTATTCTTTACCCTTTAATTGGGAACGGGTCGGTCTATTTAGTGGGGTGGGTAAAAGGTTAATGGGCATGGGTAGCTTAGGTGGCAGTCGTGTGGATCTTTAGGTGTTGAGCCATGTGGCTTATTTTTTTCACATCAGATGCCACGTCATGAGGTTAACGGGGCTGTTAAGTTGGAGGGTATTTGTGGTCTCTTATGTTAACATCAAGGACATTTTTGAGCCAAAAATGAAATGAAGGGTATATTTGCTCTATTTCGAATAGTTTGAGGGTAGTTTTGACCCTTTTCCGAATATAAAATAATCTGAATACACTTGTAAAAGGTTGCATTCTGAACAATATAAAAACAATATTAATTTGTGTTTCAAGCTTTTGATATTTACTAAATCTTTGTTCTTAAGCATTGCATACTTACTAAATCATTGCTTCTTATTTTTATTTAAACCATTTACGTACGAACATGTATATTCAACCACTAATTTATAGATCTAACGAGTTAAATTAAAACGTATGTTCTTGATCTCATAATCATTTTCTCGATAAATATAAGTGTGCCAATCAATGTATATGAATAGTATTAAACATTGTTAAATGATATTTTCTTTGTTTCATTTTATGTGACAATATTTGACTTGACAGAGTGTTTAAGAAAAACAAAAAGGAAGATTTTTAAAATTTATGGTCTAAAACAATTTTAGATATCTATATCGTTTCATTATAAAAATAAAATTTTAAAATTATATTATTTCTAATTATAGTAAGGTGACATTTTAAAAAACAGACTAAAAAGATAACACATACTCCTTCTGTCCCAATTTATATGACACATTTCAGATTTTGAAATTCAAACAAGTCTATTTTTTACCATAAATTTTTCATATATCTTTTGAATAGTTTGAATTGTCAATTATTGTGACTTATAATACTTTTTACGTAGTTTACAAATATATAAATTTCATTTTAATTTTTTTAAAGATTCCATGAGCAAATTCTTGATCAAACTTAAATTATTTAATTCTCGAAAAACAAAATGTATCACATAAATTGAGATAGAGGAAATAAAACGGAGGAAGTATATCCTTTTCTTAGAGTATACTGATATAGCTTCAAGATATGTAATTTTACCTCGAAATAATCCATCAGCTGATGCTCGAGATCAACCAAGAATTATTGAGCAATTTCATTGATCTTTTTCACAATAATTAATTAAATTTTAATAGTCGTTTTGGGGTCAATATTTTCATCACAATCCGTCATAAAATTTCAGGCATTTTCTATTTCAGGTTGATGTATATATATATAATAAAAAGAGATGATATATTTTATGTGATTAACTTAACTATTTAATAGATTAATAGAAATATGCAAAAAAAATTAAA